GAGAGTACAGTTCTTTGAAACGGTAATTTCTGCTAACAAAATATTTTGTGTTAGCTCGCCGCAACTTATTATTGATTTCCTAAGTCTGCCAAATCAAAACCTTCTTTTAACTTTATCTTCACATATAATTATATATAAATATATACCGAGTTGCCTTAAACAGCAAGAGCAAATGTTTTTGCTACAAATGATTCGTATTCGAACACTTCAAGGCAAATTTTTTTTATATTGAATGGGTCGATGGAGTTGTAGAAAGTAAACTGGGTCATAATAAACTTTAGAAAGGAACAGGTCTCAATTTTTGTGATTGAAGAAGATTTCAGTATAACAGTGACCCACGCTGTGCATATTGAGAGAAGGATCAATAAGTTCAACTTCAGCATGGAACACTTAAACATAACCATATCGTAGCTAGTAAAGGGCCTAAAGGCTAAGGATAGTTCTATATTTTAGGGAAAATAAATACTAAAGATTACATCAAATGGAACTCAAATAAGATGATCTTAGCCATCTCCACAGCTTGAAAAAAGAGTACCCCAGTAGAAATAGCCACACTCAGCGCAACCACAGCCATCATCCCTAACGAACATGGCGAAAAGCAAGAAACTTCATGATGGGGACGAAGAGTAGAGGTGGAGGATAAGAACTTGGTTGCTTCCATTCTTGAAGATAGTTAATTAGGAACTGGTAGCTCCAAGTAACCATAATTTATAGCAGCGTAGATAAGCAGTTGCGTGTTAAAATATGAAACTTAGATGACAAGAGGAAATTGGAAACCGTGTCGATGAGAAGACGTGGACGTGGTGTAATTACTGGGCATGTATTTGCAGTGGCTTTTCCAGGAAGGAAACGGGGCGGGCGTGTGCTTTATTCCTTTTACAGTAAACTTTTAGGTGGGAGAACTTTTAGTCGGAAGTCTTCAACGACTTAATGGAAACAGAATTGGGAGAGAATATGACAAACAGGGGAGAAAAATTGATACTAATCTACGCCTGTGAGCTTTAAAAAAAAGTTGGTATGGCAAGAATAATACAAATTGTACAGAAATGTTTATACAGAGAGAAGGAAGATGAAAGAATACAGGTATACTAATATGTAAAGTCAATCTGAATATACGTATAACTAGTATTATTTTATATAGAAAATATATTATATATGAATTTTTATGCACAAATTGGCCCAAACAAATAGATGGTTAAAGAGATATTTAATATGCCTGGGAAAATAAAGGGCTGACGTGGGAAAGTCACGTGAAGGGTGACCTGCTCCCGTCAGAGCAACACGCACACGTCAGACCTGCCAAATGATATGGAGCTCACACGCGTCCATTTTCCTGCAATAAATCGTGCGAAGTCAGCTTGGGAAGAGAGCAATGGGACATAAAGCCGGATTATATCCTGACAATCACACCAACCCATGGATTTAATGATGATTACACGCTTCAGTTTGATATAAAATGAAGAAGACCCCTTCATTAAGGGGATTCGGCCATTTTTACATTGAGAAACTCTCTCTCTCTCTCCTGTAAAACACATTTACTTTTTCCAACTCCTCTATAAGTCAGTCCGCTTTCGCGACCTGACCCACACTAATATCAATACAAATCAGTGGACGTAGGATTTGCTACCTTAGCATCCGAACCACTTTAAAAACTCTCTTTACATTTATTTCACTGCATATATTAATTTTCACGTGTGTTTCTTAGTCAATCAACGTTACGCACGTGACAATTCGTTGGTGCCAAAATCCAGCATCAACAGTTTGGCGCTAGAAGGAGGGCCTTGATTTAGTATCTACCCTTCATCAGGAGAATCTTTGACCTATTGGTCTTACAGCAACAAATGGCCCGCCAATCTGAGCCTGAGCAGGTCAACCAACGTGCTGAAGGAGTCCCCCTAGCCCAGAGGGACACCCCTTCCAACGTACCTCCAGTTTCGCAAAATGCTGCTGGGAACATCCCGGCAGCTCCGCAACTGGACCCTGCCATCAGAAGCTACCTGGAGAGGTTTGACAATACTCTCTAGACGGTCAACCAGAGGTTGGACCGTTTGGACCAAGGCATGTCATCTACGACAGCCGGAGCGGTACAGCCGCCAAAGACGCCTGCAGGTCGCGCGAAAGCGCGGCAAAGGTCGATAGCCCGTGCCGCGAGCACTGCAGCGTGTAAGCGCAAGGGTAAGCAAGTGGCAAAAAGTAAGCCTACGGGCTCCCAAGGGCCAGCGAATACAAAAGGCGCCCCGAGCAGGGTGTCGGCAAAGCTGAGACTCGGTGAAAAAGTGAATCCCGAGCTGTCTCATGCCACGTCGCAGGCAAACCCAAGCAAAAATGCTGGGCGCGGTGATTCCTATCACCACTAGCAGAGCGATCCCGATCGTTATGCGGGTGGCCTCCACACCTCGCGGGGCGATTCGTACCACCGCGAGGGTCGTGAAAGTGCCCCGCGCAATCCATCGCCTTCACACGCCTCTAGTCAGCGTGTGTCAAGTGCGGCTAGAAATACCGGCCGAGGCGAGGAGGAATCCGACCTCCGAACTCTCCTGAACTGCAACCGAGAAGGCCGGGCTCACACGGGTGAAAGTAATCCCCAATTGGCTCCGTTACCGCAAATTGAGGAGCTGCAGCGAGCTCTGGACAGGTTAAGGGAGNGCAACCTGAGAAATGGTTTCCAGGTTGAGTATTTTGGTTCCCTTCTAAGTTTTAAACTGATTAAATACAGGGAGAGATGATAGCTATATATTGTAAGTGGATCGAAAAATATTATCCTGGATTTAATTAATGAGTCAAAACATTAACAATTATTACCAAAATTCAATTACAACTTTGCATTCACCGGTGCAATTGAAATGTAGAAATATTTCTCCGTGTCTTTAATTCTTATTCTTTATGAAAGTTCAAGAAAACAAATATTTAAAGTTATTACCGGCTGATACTTTTACAGGGAAAAGACAACAACTAATATAAGGTACGGGAATTACTCCAGAGGATTTGATCTTTGAAGTGACGGCCGGACGGGTTCAATGCACCAAGAATAAAACGTAAATAATATGTCTATACTATTCTTACAGTCTTACTTACAATATGTATAACTCAACTTTTCCTTATATTTAAATAATTCACTTAATATTGTAATATTTGTTTACTTAAAACTAGAATTTGAATCATAGAATAATAGGAAAATTAATATGAAAAAGTCTGATTAATAGTCATTAGAGCTTCACATGTAAACTTGATTAAAACCCATCCTTGGTTAGTTTAAATAGTATGACAAGTGTTAGGATAGATGGTGAAATGGTACAATCTCAGGTTTGAGCTCCTTTGATTCTTAAGATTTAAGAGAGAGATTGTAATAATAGATTATTATGTTAATCATTTTTGATAATTAGTTGAAATATAAGTAAATTAATTCAAGCATCTTGCTTATTACTATATATATATATGTAATTCAAGCATATATAGTTTTTAGATTCTATCAAATTTCATGTATATATTTTCAACTAAGCTTTAAGCTTTTTTGCGTGAATAATTTTAATAAGAAGCAATGATGAGTACCACGTTCTATTTATGGCTGCCAAGTGCCAACATCAATCATTTGGGTTGTCTTTTCGAGTCTTTTATGAGTGATATGAAATTATTTCCTTTTCTGTATAATCAAAGAGTAATGGCATGCTTATCATCACTTCTCACAACCTTCCTCCCACAATTCTAATATATAACTTTCAATTAACTTTTTTCTAACAATTTTAATGTATAATTTGTAATATGTTGATGCGAAATTTAGGCACCAATTAACTGTCACGCGATGAAACGTTGATTGATCAAAAAGCACACGTAATAATAAATATAGAAAGCGAAATAAATGCAATGAGGGTTTTTAAAGTGGCTCAGATGCTAAGGTAACAAATCCTACATCCACTGATTTGTATTAATATGGTGGCTCAGGTCGCTAAAGCGGACTGACTTACAGATGATTCAAAAGTAAATACTAAGTCTTTTTGGAGAGAGAGAAAGTTCTCATGTCAAATGATCAAATCCCCTTAATGAAGGGGTCTTCCTCTTCTTATACCCAGTTGAATATGCGTAATCATCACTAAATCTTTGGGTTGGTGTGATTGTCAGGACCTAATCTGATTTTACGTCCCATTACCCATTTTCCAAGCCGATTTCACGCGATTTGGAGCAGGTTAGCGGACACGTGAGAGCACCAGGGTACTTGGCAGGCCTGACGTGCGCTTACCGTTCTGACGGGAGCAGGTCACGTTTCGTCACGCAACTCCACGTCAGCCTTTGATTTCTTAGTCATATATTAGGAATTATATGAAAAATTGAACCACAGTTGATAAGCTCTCATGAAGTCATGAACCAGAAAGTGGAAATACTATTTGCCTTTGAAATCACTTCCTATTAGCAAATAAAATATTGAGAAATGCTAGATAAATAAAGACTCTTACATCAAAGTGATGTGGTAACTCCCATATTACTAATTTGTGAAAAAAAAAAAAAGATTGATATGAAATTAGTGGTATGATAACTGCCACATCACTTTATACAAAGACTTTTTGTAAGAGTCTTTATACATGTAGCATTTCCCTAAAATATTATACCTCTTTTCTTTTATCCACCCAACTATTCTTATCTTCCAGTGAAAGCAGATGATCGTCTCTTTGGTTAATTAATTGTTTTTCTCAAGATGGCACGATGATTTTATATTATATGAAAACGAAGAAATTAGCAACAAATTATATTGAATGTTTTCCTAGCAAATTTGATTTGATGCCGTATACTAATGGTGAAGTTTAGGAGTTGTTATTCTCTCCAACGGTTCAGTAAACATCACAGACAATTTAAGAGATCCAGTGCAGCTGGGTAACGTTAAACGATACTGAAGTTTATGAATTATGAAAATAAACAATAAAAACAATTATATTAAATGTATCAATTCGTAGAAGAAGTGTTATCAACTTCATTCATATAGTTACACCTTATTTTAATTTGCTAAAGATTTACAGCAAATGAAACCCAAATAAGATGATCTTAGCCATCTCCACAGCTTGAAACAAGAGCACCCCGGTAGAAATGGCGACACTCATTGCAAGAACACCTACCGGCCCTAGCGTCAAACCCGGCCTAATGTTCATCAAATAACTCTGCAACAACCCTATTGCTTCACACACATCCTGATTATAATCCACAAAATATTTCTTTTCCCACTCCATCCAATTCGAAGTAGGCTCATAATTTCCCTCCAACATTAATTTCTTCTCCTGAATGCGCATTCGCAGCACAATCATGTTCTCATCCACCAGCCTTCCCTTATAATCTCGTCCTTTCGGTCCTCTACTCGTGTCCATGCTTAAGATATAGGGCTTCTTAGAGCTGTTCTTTCGACATGGTGGAGGAAGAATGGTGGTAGAGGATAAGAATTTAGTTGCTTCCATTGGTGAAGTTCAGTTCGCAGCTAGCTGAAGTAATGTTTGTTTAATGTTTTTAGCGGAATGATTAGGTAGATGGTTAAGTATTTATAGTTGGAAAGATAAGAATAAGTTGCGTGATAAATTATAAAAACTCAGCTGAAAAGGGAAATATAGCGTGTAGAAACCGTGTCCAGTGTCGACAAGAAGATGTGTGACGCCATGTAGGGTTGATTATTTGTGCAGTTGAGAGTGAATTTTCTTGGAAACGTGGACGGGAACGTGTTAACGCAGTTTAGAGAGAAATGTAAACGAAGTTTAAGGAAATAGGGAGAGAGAAGACAAGAAGGAGAATAGTTGATTGAGAGTTGAGACATACATGATACAACGATGTGTTTGTTTAAAAAAAAAGTCTAAGAATAAGATTAGTGTTTATAATTAACATTTGAAAGATCAACAAAATTCTTAAGCATTTATTGAAAAAATAAAAAATTATGAATCCTGTTAATGTGAGAATATATATTTAAAATATATGATGAATTATGTCATTTCAAATGTATATTTTATTTTAAAAATGAAAACAATACCGATATGTTAAACTCAATTTATTAAAATCCTTCTGAGAAGAAAAATAAATTATTGTCAAATTAAAAATTTAGAAAAATTAAAAGAAAAGAGAATGTAAAGAAGAGGAAAAAAAAAATATATAAATGAATTGATTGAATTCTACCCAAAATACTGAGAAATTAGAAGATTTTTTTTTTTCAAAAAAAAAGAAAAAGAATCAAAATAATATTGGAAATTATATACTGAATTATAAATTTAAATATAATAATAAATTTAAATAAAAATAAAAACCTTACATACAATTTCACCACTCTACTTTAGTAACATAACTACATCTTCCAATAAATAAAGATATTTATTGTTAATTTTAAAAACTATATTTGTGGTGGGAGAGTTACATAGTTATGAAGCTTTTATATATATAGTAAGTTATACAAAGATTCACATTAGGAAAAGGACCTATTAATATTTAATAATAATGGAATGTTGTAGGATAGCTTTTGGGGGTGTTTGTTTGAGTTTATGAAAGCAAGTGCTTATAAACTAATTTTAACTTATAAGTATTTAAAATTTTAAGTAATTACATGTTTGATTAAAGTACTTATAAGAGACTGATAAGTAGTTGACGTGTTTGATAAAATGTGGCTTATAAGTACATTTTATTATAAAATGACTAAAAATGGTACTACATTAAATAAGAGTATACTATAGAATTTTAAAATTAAATAAGGATAATGTGGTGATATATTTGGTTAAACTCTGCTTATAAGCAAAAAAAAAAAAAAAAAAAAAAATTTACCTTCTCTCCAACTTATTTTTTTTAGCTTATAAGTTCAAAAAAGTTATAAACAAACAGATCAGCTTAATTTTAGAGTTTATAAACTAGTTTAACCAACTTATAAACTTAGACAAACACCCCCTTAATGAGTTTCCTAATTAAAATAAACGACCAAAAAAAAAAAAAAAAAAAGTTTATATGCATGCACTTAAATAAATGTAGGACAAAAACAGGGTTGATACACTGCTTCTGTAAACAAAGTGTCCGTCTTGTGTATATATATAATAATAATTACGGGTGCCTTTGGCCTATTATTTCTACCCATATTCCTAATCCTATTCCCCAAATATTGTTTGGAACATTATTCCAGAAATATTAGTATAATTTTTTAATTAATTTTAGACCCCTTAAGTTTATTAATTTAATTAAATACCAAAAAAAAAAAAAAAAGTTTAAAAACTAACAAAAACACCCCCACCCACAATTACTTGCCAGATTCCGGCAACCACCGCCGGTGGTAGCCGAAATCTCTCACAATAGTCACACCACCACCGAAAATGACCGGTAATTCACTAATCTGACCTTTTCCGACCAGATCCACAGTGGATCTGGCCGTCACTGACGGCCAAAGATGGAATTTTCCGTCCGTCGATTGCCACATCCGGCCAGATTCATGGTGGATCTGATCGAAAAATGTCATATCGATCGAATACCCACCAAATCCGACCGGTATGTGTCCTTAAAAAAAATTTCAACCAAATTCCGGCAGTGGTGGCCGGAATCTGGCACTGCGGGTCTTAGAAATGTTTTTGTCATTTTACAATATTTTAATATATTGGGGTGTTTATCAAATTAGAAAACCTAGGGGGTTTTTTTTATAAATTTTAAAATTTTACCTCGTAATACTTCCCTATCCAACTACCCAATATTATTCTCAAAATCCTATCCAAAATAATAAGCCAAACGCACCATACTTTTTTCTAGAACAAGATTTAATTATAATTATAATTAAATTTCCAAATATGCATAATATAATTCTAATATAACTTACGTAATATTCCGTTGCATTAAAGACTGTTTTTAATATCGATGATTTTTCTTAATATATTTTTTTAATCTAATCAAAATATATCTGTTCACTATGTTTAACTCAAATAGATCAGACTTGTATATATAGTAAGGAAATAATAATTATAGTGTTTTCTTAAAGAAACACTTGATGAATTCTTTAACAAAAATATTATATTTACGATCTAATTTTGCAACTTTCTCTTATAATCTTAATGTGATAGTAGAGTTGACACTATTACATTAACTGGCGACTTTAACTAAATATGAATGGTTGTTCCTTAGAGACAAACAGTCATTCCTTGAGGATGAACGATCGTTCATTCATAAAGAACATTTATTCATTATGAAGGAACGAATACAATCATTCCTTCTGAAGGAACAATTAATTATCCCTAAGAAACAACCATTCGTGTCTAGTCAAAGTCATTTAATGTCTTGGGTGTAGAGAAAGCTAACATAACAATTATCAACTCAACTGACACACTAGGATTGTAAGAGAAGGTTGTGAGATTGAGTTGTGGATGTTGTATTACTCATTCTTTAATAGGTTTACTTCTATTTCTTGTAAATATTTTTGCTGTGATATTGTTTTCAAAGATATGAAAATTATAGGAGAATTACTTTAGATAAATTACATTTCCTAAAGTCGAAATCTACTTTTCACTTTCTAATTTCCAAGTAATAGCGTTGTAAGTAATTTCTGGGAACTCTATTTTAAGCATTCCTCCCATATCATTAATCAGATTTTATAATGTTCGGACGTAAACAATTGCATCCAAATTAATGTATTGGTGAGAAATGATTATCTATGGATAGCTAGCACTAACCAAGGGTAATAAGGATTTATTAAATATTATTATTGAATCGAATTCAATAATGAGAACAAAAGTATATTGGTTTTATTCTAAAGAGTTAAAATATTTAATGGGATTAAAATTTGAGCTAATTATGAATTAACCATTAAACCAAGGACTTGACATAAATGCTCTTTCCAAGATGAATTTTAAATTGTTTGAGAACTTCCCAAGACAATTTAAAATTACACTTTGTGCCCATGGTATATAAACCAAGTGTTATACCATTTTTATAGAATTGAAACAAAAGCACTCTCTCGGCTCTCTCTCATCTTTGGCTTGTGTGGATCACATTTTGAGGTTCTCCAAATTCACTTGAAGAACTAAGACTCCAAGAAAGAAGATTGAAGTGTTGAATAGCAAAGGAGTAGGTAATATTTCATCCTTACCTTGAAATTTTTTGGGCTTATGTGTTATGTTTGTATTCTACCTTACATCCATCATCTTGTCCATCATTTCTACACCTGTTCCATGTCCAAAATGCATGAATCCCAAAATGAATAGTTTGTAGACCACCAAGCTTCAATCACTGACGCAACGCACCAACATCAACAAAGGAACTACGTTCCAAAAGCCATCAATAACGTGTTTGATATGGTGAAGTTTTGGCACAAAATATGGAAATGAACATTAAACCTTAAGAGAGAAAAATACTCTAAGGGGGCGTTTTATTGGGGGTTATATGAGATTACTGGGGTAATGTCATCTTATATTATTTGATTACCATGTTTGGTTGTCAAGTAATATAAGATACCGGTAATCTTAAAATACCAATAGTGGTTACTATTGGTAATATCGGAGGTAATCTGATTACCTCCATTTTCTTAGGTATTCTGAGATTATCAGTGTTATCTTTTTTTGTCACAATTTTATCCCTTATTAATAAAATTTTGGACAATAATACCCCTACTAATAAAATTTTGGACAATAATACCCCTACTTTAAAACAAATTTACATTAATATCCTATTTCAATTTTACCCTTATTTAATTAAAATTTTGGACAATAATGCCCTTATATTTAAAATAATTTACAGACCACCATTGCCACATAGCCAACACCACCACTGCCACCCAGCCACCACCGCCGACAGCGGGCCAACCACCATGGGCCACTGCCGAAAAATCACCGGAGTCCCTAAAAAAGAACAAGATTCGGTGGGAGACTTCGAGAGGCTTCGATATGGCCGTTTCTGGCCATATTGATGGCCGAAAACGGCCATATCAGGCCAGCTCTATTCTAGCCATTTCCAGCCAGATCTGGACGAGATTTGGCCAGAATAGATCAGGCCAATAATGGCCAGGGATCTGGCCGTTAGCGGTCAAATCCATCGATCTGGCCGAAAATGGCCAGAATAGATCTGGCCATTTCTGGCCTAATATGGCCGGAAACGGCCATATCAAAGCCTCTTGGTCACGGTCAGCTGCTAATGGGGACTTTCGGAGACTTTCGGCGGTGGTCTGCGGTGGTGGGGGTGATTTCGTAATAATTTAAAGTTTTATATAAGCGGGGGTGTTTTAACTAAATCTGAAATATTAGGGGTTAAAAGAAATTATTCAAAATTAATAATAAAAATAATATTATATTAATATTTGAAAAGGGGACAATTTGGTAATTTAAATAACATACCCACCAATTTATTCCCCATAACCAAACATATTAATATAACATACCTACCAACTAACCAAACACATTTTTCTAAAGATTCCCAGTAATCTTCCAAGGTAATCTATCTTTCCATTAATCCAACATTCCTA